GCACACACACACACACACACACTGTGGAGACAGTGTAGTGGGTCACAAGCGCCAGGCTCCGAGGATCTTAGTGCTTTTAGGGCGTGTTTTAGCAGCTAGAAGCAACCAGTGTTAGTGACAACGTCAGTGAACAACCCTACAAGTGATAACCAATGTATTAGAAAAAATAAATAAAGTAAAGGCGAGAGAAAGCCTGAAATTATACAACAAAATTTCAAAGTGCCAGTTCGTTGAGGCCTAGTGGGCACCTGTTGCCACATTGTTACACATATACAAAGTACAAAGCGAGTGACTAAAGAGAAAAGACCAAATAGAATTAAGAGAGGGTGGTAACGACAAAATGTGATGTAGCACACAGCGTGAACAAGCTAGCCAGAAAGGGGATATATATATATATATACATAAATATATATAAGCAGAGGTGGTGGCAGCAGTAGGCCTGAGGGAGTAGCGCCGCCATAACAGGTTGGGTGTCATCACAAATAAGTAGTGTACTTACCAAAAGTGAAGTGTAAATTATAAAAGTAGCAGTATACAAGTGATAAGTGTGGTAAATGAGGACTCAAAAGGGCAAGAGAAAAGAATAGCCGAAGAAGTCAGCGGCGGAAGGGCGAGGTGTACGAGTCATCGTACAGCGAGCATCGTACAGCGAGCATCGTACATCAGGCATCTGGATGGACGTCCCCTCTGAGTAACGTACAAATCACCTGTGTTGTGGTTGGCGGGAAGTCTGAGGGTAGAGCCGGCCCTGCGGACACTGGTAGCTCGCTATCTAAACCCTGCTCCAGAGGGATTATCATACACACAACACCTAGCAGTAGTAGGAAGATAAAATTTGTAGGAGCAAGGACTAATGGGACTACAGCCCTGACAACAGTTTCGAGAGATAATGTTTTAGGACACAAAGACAGTACAATCTGAGAAGCAAGTATTGGGTACACATGTAGTAAAAGGTAGTACATAACTGGGTGAAAGAATGACTTGTTAACACACGCTAGTATTATAATTATTAGAACTACTCTCAGTGTTAATGGTATCTCATTAGTATTACGGGTACACAGAAGTGAATTGTATTTCTGGGACATATAAACAACTGACGTGCTCACACACACAAACGCACGCACACACATGCACACTGGGAGCCGGGAGCTGGGTCTCGACCCCTGAAACCACAACTAGGTGAGTACACACAGCTGATCCTTGGAATTTGACCGCCTCCCCCACAGACCCCCCACAGACCCTCACTCCCTACCTTTTCATCCCTCGCGTTTTCTCTCTCTCTCTCTCTCTGTCATTTTCCTCTTGCTCCACAACAATCAAGTTTGCATTTAAAAGAATCACTTGAAAGAATAGGCAGCATCACCAATAACAATAATTATCACTTTCATAGACACCAGTACAGTTCCCCACAATGGATCAATCACTTTACTGACTGGCGGCCACCTTGATCATTCCTAGTATCTAGGTCGATATTTCATCACTACAGGCAAGTCATCGATCATTCTAGAATCCCAAGTACATATTTAGTAGGTTCTCATCCATACCAATACGTACATAACATACGTACATAACACAGTCACATATAACTGGATATTTACAAACACCTGTCAGTCCACAGCAGAATTCAAACCTGCGCAACCTGCATCAAAGTACACAGTACTTTAGCCACAAAGTACTGTGATGCGCTTTTATTCAGAGTGCACATGTTGGAATCCTGGTATGAAATGAGAGTTAACGTTTCTTAAATAATTTCGTTCGTTGACGAATTGTTAATTATAAGTGACTGTATTATCATCTATGTATACTGGATATCTATAACCTTTATTTTTTTCTCTTTACTGATCCACTACAGCACAACACATATAAATGTTATGCAATAATATTCATTTTCTGTCGCACGTATTATTCGTATTAGAATATCCGATTGTTCAACTTTGTGAAGTATAAAAAAAGGCACCTAGAACAATAGACAAAATAGCCAGTACAGGAGAATGAAACTTATGACTAGGTAATAGTCCAAGTTGGACCGAAACGTCGTCTCAAGCTTCATTCTATGTGCAGGTTATTTTTGTACTATCCAACTTTTTTTTTAATTAAAGTCCTATACGGATAAGGAGGAGGTGTTGCTGTATGCTTCTCTAAAAGTGTTCATGCCCAGCACATTGATGTTGCCACCCCTACACATCTTGAAATGATGTTCTTCAAGCTCTGTATAAACACTAGTACCTCTGTACTAGCATGTGCAATGTACAGACCTCAGTGGCAACATGCAGACCCTATCAACTTCCTAATGGAAAATATTGACTCCCTTCTGCTACAACACAACTGTCAACATATAATTGTTGGTGACCTCAACCAGCACCTTATACAGAGGGACTTTGATGACCTTCTTGCAGTGTTTGACATGAGAAACTTTGTTGATTTCCCTACTCATATCTCCGGCTCCTCCCTTGACCCAGTAGTGAGTGATCTGGCAGAAGTCATAGTCACTTGTCAACCCCTCGGCTACGTTGGATCGTCTGACCACAAGGCTGTTTTTACGACACTTAAGAGCCCAACAGAACGAGGTGAGGAGTCCACACGCACAACCTGGCTATGGGAAAGAGGTAATTGGCCAGCCCTTTGCTCTGAGCTCGCCACCACCGACTGGAATGCTCTTCTCCAAGGGGATGTTGACAACCAAGTGAAAGCCTTCACTGGACACATCCTTAATCTACAACAAGAACACATTCCTCACCGGCAATATGTGACGAAGCCTATAGATCAGCCTTGGTTTGGCTTTCGTTGTAGAGAGGGTGCTACTGCTAAGTACAAAGCATGGCGAAGGTATGAGAGACATCCTACCACCTATAACAGGAACTTGCACATGCAAGCCTGTAGGCATATGGGTGATGTTCAAAAGTGGGCCATTGCTAAATGGGAGGTGGACACTAAAAGAAAGTTAGCATCAGGTAGGGTAGGCTCCAAAACCTGGTGGTCCCTGGTCAAGGACAGACAAGGTTATCTGCCTGATGAACTTATTCCACCTCTAAATGGACAGGATGGGACCACCTCAACTAGTAGTCAAGAGAAGGCGGACCTCTTTGCTGAACACTTTGCTACCAAAATGCAAGTTCCTGATCCAGCAAGGGACCCTCCTTGGCTAGCTGCAAGAACTGTGTCAAAACTGCCAGTGGTGACAATAAGGCAGGAGGAGGTGCATTTCCTACTTAAATCGCTTGACCAAAAAAAGGCTGTGGGCCCAGACAAGTTGAGCCCAAGATTGTTGAGAAGATGTGCAGACCAGCTAGCAGCACCTCTAACTCGCATCTTTCAGCACTGCCTAGTACAGTGTAAATGGCCCTCTCTATGGAAAGAGGCGAATGTAGTCCCTGTTCACAAAAAGAAGAGCAGAGCAGAAATCAGCAACTACAGACCAGTGTCACTCCTGTCAATCACTGGTAAGATCCTTGAGACAATAATCTCAAGACAAATGACAGAGTTTTTTGACTACCACTCACTACTTTGTGATCGTCAATATGGCTTCAGGAAAGGTTACTCTGCTGCTGATCTGTTGTTAAACCTCTCCACTAAGTGGCACCAGTCACTGGATGAATCCAAAGTCAGCTGTGTGGTAGCACTGGACATTGCTGGCGCTTTCGACCGGGTGTGGCACCAGGGCCTCTTAGCAAAACTTCAAGCACTGGGAATTGCAGGCTCTACGCTATGTCTCCTCAGTGACTACCTTCATGGTAGATCTCTAAGTGTAGTTCTCAATGGAACGGAATCAGCAACACATCCTATTGGGGCAAGTGTTCCACAAGGAAGCGTGCTGGGTCCTTTGTTATGGAATGTCTACTTCAACGACCTTCTTCATCTCATCCCAGAATCACATGCATATGCAGACGACTGTACACTGACATTCACTTATCCAAGAGAAGAAATGCCAGCTGCTCTAAGCTACATCAATCACCAGCTGAGAGCTATATCAGCTTGGGGAAATAGATGGCAAGTAACATTTGCACCTGAGAAAACGCAAATGATGATCGTCTCTAGGCACCATGATGGTAATGCTGGTGCAGTAGTAAGGATGAATGGGAGGATGTTGGCACCTGGAGAAGAAGTTGATATCCTTGGGGTGAAATTTGACTCCAAACTAACCATGAAGAACCATATTGTAAATCGTGCAAACAAGGCACCCAGGAAGCTTACAGCACTTCGCCGTATCTCCCATCTGCTTGACAGTAGGGGTTGCAAGATCCTGTACGAGGCACAAGTACGCTCGCACCTTGAGTATGCTCCACTTTCTTGGTTTGCCTGCCCCCCCTCTCATCTGCGACTGCTTGACAGAGTAGAGAACAGAGTAAGACGTCTCATCTCTCGCCTGGACCCATTCTGGATAGATCTGTCATTTCAGCAGAGCCTTCAACATAGGAGGGATGTGGGTGGCCTTACTGTTATGTACAAGGCCAATATTGTCAAAATACCACACTTGGATCCACTTCGAGGACAGCGTGAAACAAGCTTTTATGCCACAAGACGGGCAGAAAGCAGCAACTTCACTCTGGCTGTACCCTTCTCCAGAACATCACTCCATCTGAGATCATACATACCCAGGATGACTCGAGTATGGAACACATTCGTACAAGATAATGATGTCAACGAGATAAAGTCAGTTGATCAAATGAAAATGCTGGCCCACAGATGGCTCCAACTTCATCCTGTTTCCTACTTGTATGTCTCATAACAATAAATATGCTTTCAAATGAGCTGATGTAGGTAACAGCTCTTAGCTTGCCAATAAAGTTAGGAATCCTTAACCTGTAAATAGCTGTCAATAAAGCTAGGGATCCTTAACCTTGTCAAACCCTGTGTAAAAAAAAAAAAAAAAAAAAAAAAAAAAGTAAGGATCCATTATGTCCCTCACCATGAGAGAGTTGTTTAGCATATCGTAAATGGTAGAAACTTTTAGGTTAATTAGTATCAAACTCAACGCTAAAATTCTTTACTTTTGGTCTCACCTCTCCTGAGGCGCACTGGGACTTTGTAAGCATCTGGCAGAGCGTGAGCTGGAGTGTTCCCTGGGCTGCCGCTCGTGTCCTGCTCGCTGTCTGAACCACGGACTTCCTCTCCGGCTTTTCCACGAACACACTTTCGTCCAGCGACACCAACCGAAGATATGGGAAGTGTTGGTTGACTCGAGATGCATGCGATCTCTGCAAAAAAGTCATCTTGTTAATATGACAAGAGTTACATCAAAATAAATCTTTAGTGAAGGTCAGGCAACACCTAACAACATTTATCATGCACAAAAGCCATTCCATTGCCCTAAACATTTCGCTGTAATTCTTAATAAAATAATTAGGATAAATATTTGACGGCCATTCCAACAATGATAACTACTAGCTATTATCGACATAAAATTAAATACTTTATTGAAATACCCACAAAATACCAACAGCATAAACAAAGTTTATAAGGAAAGATTTAATTGCTTCTGGATTTTATAGGATTGTTGTAAGGACGACAATAGAGGGAATGGGGTGGAAATAAAGACACGGACAGCAGGAAATTCCTTCACTACGACGTTTCACCCAAAACATGACTTTGTCGAGAATACAGAAATAAGCAAACACACCATCTTATATGGCTTAAGGTAACTGAGGTCAGGGGTCAAAAGTAAGGTTAGGTTAGGTATAGGTTAGGGAGAGATGGGGGTTATTATCATTATTATTATTATTATTATATTATTATTATTGTTATTATTATTATTATTATTATTAAACGAATGAGGGTGATGGTACACTGTACACCCGTGCTGTGTGAGTAGATCCAGGGCTTCTGATAATCTGATAGTTTTGATGGTAAGAACTGCCATGTCTATCCTGGGATTACGGACAGTAGAGATGTTATTGCAACAATTCCTTGCTGGGATAACCAGTGACTATCGATGTTGGTAACACTTTTGGGTTTGTTTTATGTATCTGTTTGCATGAATAGGTAATACGTGGTGAAACGCTTAAGGCGGTGAATGCCCATTAAATTTATATTTTTTTTTTTGTTCTTTTGAAAGATATTCTTTGTAAATTCAGAGTGTTCGGAAAAAAGACACTTTGAGAGCACCAATCTCTTGGTTATCTAGTTATGGTGGAATAGTGTACTAGCTCAACTTTCTTGGTGGGTGTCCTATATTCATTGTTTATAAGCGCATCCACAAGCTTGATAAGAATGACTTCCAGAAGCCCTAGACCCTAAAGAACTTTGACAGCGCGAGTGTACAACATGCCATGTAGTGGATGACCGGCCGAGACCTTCAGACGCCTTCAGAAACTTTAACCCGCCAGCAGAGTGGATAACCCTTAAAGCCATTCATCTCTGTATCTCATTCTTTCTGAACCGCTTATATATCAATTAAAATTAATGTGCAGTCTATCGCAGCCATTATTCTCACTAAATACTAAATTATATAAGCAATTACCGATCCTACTCACGTATACCAGTGAAGTGGATAATAAAATTGATGCCGACAAGTAATGTGTTGTTTTAGGAGAAATATAATGTATGTTCTTTTTAAACATATCGCCCACGTTATCCGGCTCCCCACACTCACCAGTACCAGACCTCATCTATCCCTAGCCTCACCTCTGACCTCATATTCCCTGAGTCTGACCTCCGAGTGCTTATTTTCCTTAAAAGGCGGTGTATTTGCTTATTCCTGTACCCTTGATAAGACCCAGTGTGACGATTAGTCAAAATAAAATTGTTCTGTATTACCAATTTCTTTATTTCCACTTGTCGGCTGTTGCCATTTTGTACTGTTAGGAGTTGATGTACTGGAGTTATATTCGAAAACAGAATGAGCTGGACCATGTGAAGAGTGGGCAAGTGGTGAGCTTACCGGCAGTGGGTCCAGCGCTTACCACCCCACCACTACCACCACCACCACCACCACTACGACCCTCACGCCTTTTCCCACTCATGAAGGAGGAAGACCTTGGTGGTTGTGGCTGACCTTCGTAACAGTCTTGGTGGCCGAACGTCTGAAACTGTAGAGTGTAGTCGAGGGTACCACCGCCACCACTTCCAGGTGGGAAGCTGAAGGTGGCGTAGGGGTAGATCTCGTAAGGCTCATCCACTGCCAGGGAGAAAACCCACCATCAGGGAGACAAGTGAGAGGATGCTGCATGGGAGAGGATTCTGCAGGGGAGAGGATGCTGCAGGGGAGAGGATGCTGCAGGGAAGAAGACAGAAACACAAAGGTAGGATCTCAGTGTTTACGCTGATAAAGCTCGTGAGAGAAATCAGACGAGTGACATTCAGACATTCTCTAGATGGAGATTCAAAAAGAAAGAACAAAGAGACACAATACGTGACTGGAACAATACACAAATAACCCGCACATAGGAGAGAGAAACTTAAGACGACAGAAACGTCGTCGTATCGAAGTAAACATCACTCGTTCAGAGGAGAATTCTACAAGATGAGCATAAAAAAAAGTTTACGTATTACAAAAGCGACATAAACCTTGGCGTTGCATGAGTGTAACTCTAACATAAGAAGAGACAAAAAGCTGCAGTGGGGCCAAACACAGAGTGAACGTTAAACACCACAAACTAAAGACAAACTGATGCGACACACGCTAACAAAATAAATTTATTTGAATTAAAAGTACCATGCACACCGGACGTTCCTGAAACAAATACTGGTAAAACACAAGCACACATTTCTGGGAGGAAACTTTAGTCGATGTTTGTGTGTGTTGTGCTGCACACTCGATAATGATTTAGTGCATAAAATTGTTCCAGGACTTTTTAATGGTCAAGAACAGGAATGTTGTCTATCGTTCCATATCCATATGTTAAATATTTACGAATTGTTCTAACCACAACATAATGACTTTGATTCTTCATTAATCTAATTTTCTCCAAAAAATACCTTTCCAAATAGGTGAAAAATAATTTTTGAGACGTTGCAGACACACTGTACAAACATGCATATACCAATTTAAATAATTATCTATTGTATTATCTCTTATTCACATAATAAGGATTAATGATGTTACTTGAAAGAGAAAGTTAACAATTCAGGAATCTTATTGTTGTTAGAAGTTATGGAACCTGAAACTGAATACCTGGATGAATTCGGAATAGAATGATTAAGTTCGGTAGAGAGCAAGAAACTGACAGCATCATCCTTCACATTTAGACCTGGAAGTTTGTTTAAAATCAGAATACAGAAGAAACCTACAAAAGTTCGAAAATTATTATTCTGATTACTTTTCTGCAGGATGACTTGGTTAAAGATATGAAGTAGATGCAAATCTACTGTACCCAAAACCTTTATCAGAAAGGCATTTTAAAAAATTATATTTATGCACACAAATACACACATACACACACACACACACACACATACATACATACACACACACACACACACACACACACACACACACACACACACACGCACGCACACACGCACACACACACACACACAGAAACAAAATTCACTGGGACAGTAACAGATGCAATCTTCCCACCCGGATATCAGGTCATGAGAAAGGATAGAAGGAGCAGAGGGGGAGGAGGTGTTGCACTGCTCATTAAAAACCGATGGAGCTATCAGGAAATGGAAGGAATGGATGAGATTGGAGAAAGGGATTACATAGTAGGTACAGTTCAGTCAGGGGAACATAAGGTAGTCCTTGCAGTGATGTATAATCCACCACAGAACTGCAGGAGGTCAATAAAGGAAAATGATGAGTGCAACAGAGCACTAGTTGAGGTGGCAAGAAGATCTCACTCCAGTAGAGAAAAGTTGAGAAAAGTTACTAGTTATGGGCGACTTCAACCACAGGGAGATTGATTGGGAAAACCTGGAGGCACATGGGGGTCCTGAAACATTGAGAGCCAACATGATGGATGTGGTACTGGAAAACCTCATGCACCAACATCAGAGAGAGAGGGAAGGATGAACCAGCAAGACTGGACCTTGTATTCACCCTGAGTAGCTCAGATATCGAGGACATCACTTTTGAAAGGCCCCTTGGAGCTAGTGACCACGTGATTCTGAGCTATGAATACATCGCAGAGCTACAAGTGGAGAGGGTAACAGGAGTAGAAAGGAAAAAGCCAAACTATAAAAGAGAGGGACTACACAGGTATGAGGACCTTCCTGCAGGAGGTTCAGTGGGACAGAGAGTTGGAAGGAAAGTCAGTAAACGAAATGATGGACTTTGTAACAACAAAATGCAAGGAGGCAGAGGAAAGGTTTGTTCCCAAGGGTAACAGAAATAACGGGAAGACCAGAACGAGCCTTTGGTTTACCCAAAGGTGTAGGGAGGCAAAAACTAAGTGCGCTAGAGAATGGAAAAGGTACAGAAGGCAAAGGACCCAGGAAACTGAAGAGATTAGTCGACGAGCCAGAAACGAGTATGCACAGATAAGGAGGGAGGCGCAGCGATGGTATGAAAACGACATAGCATCGAAAGCCAAGTCTGACCCGATACTGCTTTACTGCCACATCAGGAGAAAGACAACAGTCAAGGACCAGGTGATCAGGCTGAGGAAACTAGGTGGAGAGCTCACGAGAAACGACCAAGAAGTATGTGAGGAGCTCAACATGAGATTTCAGGAAGTATTTACAGTGGAGGCAGAAAGGGCACTAGGAAGACAAAACAGTGGGGTACACCAACAAGGGATATACAAACAAGTGTTGGATGAAATACACTCAACTGAGGAGGTGAAGAAGCTCTTAAGTGACCTTGATGCCTCAAAGGCAGTGAGACCGGACATCTCTCCGTGGGTCCTTAGAGAGGGAGCAGAGACACTGTGTGTGCCACTCACTAACCACAATCTTTGACATCCCTTGAAATTGGGCAAATACAGTCCTCATCTTTAAGAAAGGAGACAGAAACGAAGCACTAGAGACCAGTGTCACTGACATGTATAGTATGCAAAGTCATGGAGAAGATTATCAGGAGGAGAGTGGTGGAGCACCTGGAGCGGAACAAGATTATAAACGACAGCCAACACGGATTCATGAAGAGCAAATCCTGTGTCATAAACCTACTGGAATTTTGTGACAAGGTTACTGAAGTAAGACATGAGAGCGAGGGGTGGGTTAATTGCATTTTCTTGGACTGTAAGAAGGCCTTTGACAGTTCCTCACAAGAGATTAGTACAGAATCTAGAGGATCAGGCACATGTAACAGGAA